GTAATAATAGTAGTGTGTGTGTATATATATATATATATATATATATATATATATATGAAAGTAAAAGAATTTTATACGTAAATCACCTCTGAAATTAGACATTGAGTGTCGTTATAAGCAAATATTATAGATACATGTAATTTTGAGCTTCGTTGCGGTTGTATCCCGTGAAAACGTAAAACAGATTCCGTTAAATCTCCACTATCGTGCCCACGAAACCGCGACAAAGAGCTGACCGAGCATATCGGGTATATTCGTGATGTATTGAAAAATGAAGGATGCAAGTTGTAATTATTATTCCGTTTTTGATAGCCGTTACGTATATCTAGTGAATAAAAAATTTTACACTTCACACGTCATTAGTTGTGTATTATATCAATCCTTTATTTCTCATAACAGAGGTAATACACACACGTGCTTATTAATATTTATTATTCAAAGAAGTTTCAAATATACACGTTTCAAATACAAATTGTGTGGTTTTATATCGATATATCATTATGGATAATTACATTCTGATGATATTTGAAGTTCGACAAATTAAATCAACGTTTTCTCGCCATCGCCGGCCATTCGACAACGAACATCCGGTCGATGTCGAACGCGTCGCGACACGTGTCGTGGCTCTGTCCCCGCAACCATAACGGGCTTTCTCGAAGATCAGCTTGTCGATCCCTCGAGAATCAGTTGTGCCGAGAAATCTGAATCTTTCGATCGGGATCGTATCACACCACAAATCCATACATTAGATGACATTGTGTTATCTAGTTAACAGAAAAATAAAATGTATTTATTAAAAATGTGCATTATTTACATCAGGAGTAAATGATATATTTGTATATATCGTTGTATATCGGTGTTTCCTGTATAACTCGATCATTTCAAGATCGATATTTAAGTGAAATGGCATATTTTTTATTAACTGCTGTATTACGAAAATATAGCGTTCCAATTAAAAAAAAAAATGATAATTTCGATCATCAAAAATCATGTAAGATAATAAGCATTAAAAAGAATGCCTATTACAATATTTGTCTCTTCGAAACGAGTGACTTTTCCCTTTTGTATTTTTTTTTTTGTATCATTCAAAAACAACAGATATTCGAAATCGATCGACTTACAGGAAACATTCTGTAAGAAAAAGTAATATAAGAAGATAGATGTGGAAAAAAGTAGAGTGACTTTGAGAGATAGGCGAAAACATTTAATTTCATAATCAGGACCATCCAGTAATTTCACGACTTATCTAAATAGCTTACCTTAGACTTTGCCCTCTTATTACGCATGAATCTCTCCGAATGAGGTGATGACATACATCCGTGGGGCTTGTTACTCGTCACGTGTTAGGGCAGACGGCGGATGCCATCAGCGTCCTCCTGCCACCGCCTATCCGCGCACCGTGTTCCATAGAACGTTTTTAATATTCCCTCGAGGTAGCTTTCGCGTGCGCGCGCGCGCGCGCGCGCGCTGCTGTCATTCGCGCTTTCCGCGACGCTCTCGTCTAAGGGGTAAAAAAGAAAGAGGCGCGACAGGAGGTTCTTCGTACACAATACGCTGGTTCCCGATGGCAACGCGCTACCGTGTCTCCTCGTGATCGCGGACGTGGTTGTCGCAGTTACCGCCGTAGTCGCCTCGAGTTATGACAGTCAGTCGCCGACGTGGCGCCGTAGACAGATGCCATTGGTACACCTTGGCTGGAGACTTCGCTCGGGGCTACGATAACCGCACGCGTGTCCCGCGCCACGCGAATCACGTTCATGTCGTGCGCGCACTTTCGTGCGGAAGGTAGGGAAAGGGTGGCGGACGGGACACACGGGAGATACTGGGACGGATAAAGAAAAGACTTCCGGGCATAATCCGAAACGTCGCGACGAGGCGCTAGAACAAATCACGCCTCTTCATTGTTCTCAGCCCTGAGGCTCGCCATCTTCCTTCTTTTTTCATCCTCGTTTTTCCTTTTCTTTTCTTTCTTTCTTTTTTTTTTTTTTTTTTCTATTCGTAATTATTAGTAAGTCTAACGCCCAAACACAATTCCGCCGCAATCGAGAGGTGTGCCCAAGAAGTTGGTAGGAGGATTCTATCTGTGCCTGGTTCAGTCGACAGTTTAGATGGGATAATTAAGTACATGGATTTTATCTTAATATATCACATGAATATTTCTTTCTAGTTAATTAAATGGAAGGTGTTCTGAGGGGGGAAATGATTTTGAGTTCTAAAACAATTCCGGAAAGAAATTTCTATTATCAGTATTGAAGCAATACATACGTTTGTAGCATCAACAATTTTTGACTTGAATTTCTCAAACATTAGAATTCAGAATTGATATAATTTGGCCTTATGTTTATTTGATCGATTAGTTACGTATGTAGTTACGTATGTGTCGAAATTATTTATTTTTTAATGCGTTGTAACGAGAAATTTAATATTTGATTTAGAAACGTTACAAACTTACCTCGTTATTTCTGAGGCAAGTCCCATGAGGGCTCGTGGAAAGTATGCGGCTACGGAAAGGACCTCTTGGTAAGCTGAGGAACGACAGGGTTCCGAAAGCGGAACACGCATTGTATCCTGAGAACGGGAATGAGAAGTAGAGAGAGAAACGGGGAGAGGGAGGGGGAGGGGAAGGCCGTTGGAGTTCCTTAAAGGCCCGGGCTTCTAGGAACTCCAACGTTGCATTCGGTCTCGAAACCACCGTGCGCGAGTGGAAGTTGTTCACTTGGAGGCCACGACCGGCCGGTGTGCTACCACATGGGGCTTGCAGTTACCACGAAATATCTGAAGCCACATCGTGCAGTCCGTATCACATTTCTCGATTCCTCGAGTTCCTTAGTCTCAGAAAATGTCACTTCTCGACGTTCGGTATTATGGTTGAGCAGCTCATCTCGTCGTCGTCTGCGACGACTACGTGCGATTCTACGTACTTCTCTATTGAATTTCTAGCATCGACTTACGATGCTATTTAATGGAGTATCGTGTAGCGAACGTAATTCTAATAATTAATACAATGATTCAATTCGAAAATCTTATTTTAAGACTGGATATTTTGGGATATTTCATTTCGATGTTTGGTGCTCAATTTATTTTACGATAGTTGCGCTTTATTAATAACCACGAGGGGAGACGAAACTGACAAAATAACTGTAATTTACAATCAGCGCGAACGATAAACCGTATAATTATGAATTAAGGATGAATCGCGACAGACGGAAATACATCCGTAATCTAAGGATATGATAAGGAACACGTTCTCGTCTCTAAGGTGAAGAGAAATGGCTGATTTTTATTGTCTGGATACGCATGTGTATACGTGTATACATGTGTGGGTGTGCGCGCGGCATCGATCGAGATGTGAAAGAGCATGGTGAAGCTGATTGGATATCACCTTGCTCGACTTGAATCGTGGCATCGCGATGTGCCCTGTAATAAGTCTTCGGAAATTCTTCGTTTCTTCTTTTTATGTTGTCATTTGCCGCGCGCGCGACCATTACGGAGCAAAAATCTCGTGGAATCATCTTACTTTCAAATCAAAACACGTTTCTCAAAGAATATTAGGCGTCTCTTTGATAGATAATAAAATTCGATAAAAATACATAGAAAATAATATCGATCTTTTGAATAATTTTCGGTTGAATTTAGCAAAATAACACATCGATCGAGAAGGTATGAATTATACAGCTATAAAAATATCTCTAACTAGATATATTTCTGAACATAAATAATGCTTTTAAATATTAAGTTGTAAAAATCTCCTCTTATCACAATGTTGCAGTGTGTTACTTCCATCGACGCGATATGACCTCATTTTCCACAATGTTACACGAGACTTGCGGTAGGGTAGTGTTATGTTGGTTGTGTGGTGTGTACTCAAACGAGAACACCGCGCAAGTCGAGCAAACCGGGTGGATGATTTAGAGGAAACGAGTAGAAGAGAAAGAAGACGACGAGGATGATGATGAAGAAGAAGAAGGGTTGGCAGGTCGTTGAACATAAAAGTGGCCACGATGAGAGAGAGAGAGAGAGAGAAAGCGTGCGAGCGAGTCACATATTGCCGCGTGCGCACGCGCGCGCGCGCGTGCATGCATCGAGACGCGGATCGACAGGAAAACATCGTGCCGCTGCACGGCGGCGTTACCGGCGGTAGCAGAAGCAGAGACGGCAGGCGCTTCTGCACTGGCAGCTCATCGAGTCGCGCTAGCTACATAGCTCGACGAGCTGACGGTCGGTTCGCTCGCTCGCTCGTTCGCTCGCTCGTTCACCAGTTTCTCTCCTTCTACCGCGCGCGCTCTCTTTCGTTCTCTCGCGTCCTCTCTTCTCCACCTCGCTCCATCACGATCGCGCTGCACCTCCTCGCGCGAGCCTCATGACTCCCCCTCCGGGGCTGCGCCACCAGTAATTGCTTCCTTTGAGTAGCTCCGGAGGTGTAATTTAGTCCCCGACCAACAACCTTAACTAATTAACACACCGAGTAGCGAGCGAGTAAGTGAGCGAACGAGTGACGGAGAACGAGCCGCGACGGCTTGACTGACGGACTGGCTGGTTGACTGGTGGACTGGGTGGCTGACTGACTGGCTGACTGGTTGACTGGTTCCTTCCTCTTCCTCACCTTTCCTCGCCATGCTCCGTGTTCGGTGCACCTCTGCGTGTATACTCTTCTGTCTCCTCGCCTACGCGCGTCAATGATCGAACTCGGACGAGTCGACCGCTGCGGGGTGTCTTCCCTTCTTGTCTCATCGAGGCGCCTTGGACTCGACTATTCACTACCTTCTATGCAGTTGCGTTATATGGCTTCGCGTGTGTTGCACGTTAACGGCACTCGAAGAACATAAGCTGATCTAGTCACTAGTAGGAACAAGAACGCGTTACCGACGAATGCTCGCGATGGTTTTTCTTTGCGATCGTTCAATAGTATTGCATAACGATATGCATGACAAGTGTGTGTAATATGGAATTTCGAATCAACTAATAAAAATTTTTTTTACCAATGTTGCGATTGTAAACGAGCGTTATTACCACTTTTATACACAGTTTTTCATATGTTGCTACTTATTTGGATGTTTTTAGAGCATCGATTTTCTATCTCGCTTCAGCAATGTCGCGCTATTTTGTTCACCGGACATCGCTGTCAGTGCCCATTTAGGGTCCCGGCTCTCGTCTTTGGCTCTCGTTACGAGCTGATCAAATAGCTCGACATTCAAGATTGCTCCTTCAAGATTTTGTTTTTGATAGGCCGATTAACGAGCGGCCTATTCTGGTCCACCTGTCGTCTGAACCGGACTTCAGACTCTCTTGTGTCACCTCTATTACGCGGTCTCGTGTCGTATCGTGACTACTTCGCAAAGTGCGGAGGCGTTGGAACCGCCTGAGGGGAGAAAGGTGCGAAAAGAGAAAGAGTGAAGTGAGGGGAAAGAGGAAGGAGCAAAATGAAATAAGTACCTATTCTTTCTCGATATCCTCTTCCTCGAAAGGTAGTAGAAATATTCTCGAGATGTGCAACGATGCTCGTATTTAACACCTGATTAAAGCGGAAGAGAGGGGCAGCGCGCGTTGGCGTGACCAAAGCGATTGCTGCGAGATGAGACCATCCTTCTCCCTCTGCCGTGTTCGCCTCACACCTCGACTTCCCCTTCTTGCCGCGCTTCTTTCGTCGGGATTCCTCTTCATGGTTTGAGGACATAAGGTGGCCCAGTCGGTTCTTCACGCGCGTATGTGTATGCGTGTACATGTGTATGTGTGTAGGTGTGTGTGCTCATGGTCTCTTGTATGGTATCGGAAAGACGGACGGGAAGAGAACGGGGAGACGGCGGCGGGAACAGGCCCCGAGCGACAGCGTAATCACCTGGACGAACTACCACGTCTCTCAGTCTCGCAACGTGCGTGCAGTGGCGTAGGCAGAACGAGAGAGAGAGAGAGAGAGAGAGAGAGAGAGAGAGAGAGAGAGG